CTTCTTCACAGCTGCCAAAACCTCTGCCCTGTCCTTGTCGCTACCGACAATACTTTTCCTCGACATGGAGTCTGTCCGGTCAATGGCATCGGTTACGTGGGCCGCGTCGACAGAGTTCCTCTCAAGCTTGGGAAAGCCTGTGCCGCCGCCGACCTGCTCTCCTGGGTGGATGTTGACGTTGACCTTCTGCCTTTCTGCCTCCACCGTGACCATGGAGACCTGTGCCAGGCTTGGCTGAACCGGTCCGTCAGCGGCAGGAACACCAGTAACGGATTTCGGCCTGAAGAGTCCCTTCAACGACCGCCCAGACTTCTTCATGCCCTTCCCCATCTTTCGAAGCATCATCGAAGCAGATGAAGCGGTTGACGATATTGAAAGGTTATCAGTGGAACCGGTGAAGCCGCCTTGTCCAGAATATATTCCTGCGCCAATGCCAGCAGCCTCTTGCTTGCGAGCAATCTCATCCTGTTCGGCTTCCATCTCTTCCGGAGTCTTCTGCCGAGGTGGAACATTTTCCGTCGCTCTTCTGAGTTCAGCAGTAGTTCCAAAGAGAAAGCACGTCGAAGACGAGATTTCATGCCCTTGTTCAGGTCTTTGTCAGAAAGAGCAGCGAGATGTTGGGCTGCAGGGCTGGATGCCTGAGCAGGGGACAATGTCTGCCGAACAGGCTCAACATTTTCCGACGGTGACTGCGGGTCATTAGGAGAAGCGGATTTGGATAGAGGGGAGGGTGTGGTAAGTCGCTTGTGGGCATCTGAAGACCCCGAGATGGGACCTTGAGTACTTGCTGTGCGGGTTGTGGTGATATTCTGCCAGGCTGGGCAGCTGCAGCAGGCTGTAAGAGCGGGCCGAGATTAGTAAATACACCAGAAGGGCCTATAGGCATAACTGTGTCCTGACTTACAGGTGGAGTGATAGAGGAAACCCTTGCTGCTTCCACACTTCCACTGCTGCTGGTTCGTTGATGGAATGAAACGGGCCTTATCGTGCTGGAAGTGGATAGCGACGTAGACTTGTCGCCGTGGCTACCCTGGGAAGACGGCCGTTGAGCCTGAGGAGCGGTACTTGCGGCTCCCAGGTTTTGTGTTTCGAGGTTGCCCATACTTCTCCTACGGTATCTCTTGGCAGATTCTGATGATCCTGACTTCGTGACCTGCACATCCTCGCTTGGTGTCCGGCTGAGAGTTCCAATCGCTGGCGGTGGGTTGTAGAGATGACCCACGGTAGCCATACCAGAGCCTGACGGAGCTGCCGAAGTGGCAGCTGGAGACGCTGGTGCTTTGTTGGGCGCCCCGCTAGAATCTGTGCGACGTGCGCCCCGCCTGTAGCGCTCAGGTGATGCCTTTGGTGCCGGCTCGAAATTCCCCAAGGACAGGTCTGGAATGGACGAGGAGAGGCTAATGAACGAGCCTGGCCGTGATCCAGAGAAAAGATCATCCTTGCTCGCTTCTCTTTGGGAAGGAGAAGACGACGTCTCTGAAGAGACGGTCGAAGTCGACGGGGATGTCACATGGCCATGTCTGTTGCTGCCAGCAGTGCTGACAGACAAAGATGACTGACTGTTCGTCGTCGCCGGAGCAGAGATCATTCGTGTCTCCTGTCGAAGGTGTGGTGTCGACTGAAACGCATACGGCTGCACTGGTGCCGCTGCAGTCCCCGATATGACGGTGTGCCACCTTGTGTGTTGTAGATGCTTCTGGGTGTTTGGCCTGCACGAGGCGCTTGTTGGTACGATTGTCCGGAAGATCCTTGGAACGCGCCGGACGAAGAAGAAGGCCGGGAGTGAAGCATGGTGATGTTACTGGAAGGCTGGGTGAAAGGTGACAGTACCTCAGCCATGGGGGCCTTGAGCCGAGAGGGTGTAGGATCGTCCGTACTTGCAGAGGTGAAGTCGATCTGGGTAATTGAGTTTGTCCGCGGTAAGCACCTACGCGACCTCCAACGTCAGTAACGGCACAAGCTGGCGTTCACGACGTTCTAAGTCAATGGGTGTAAACACTGTTGGTTGACGGGGAAAGGATTGGGTGTGTTGTGGCAGTTTACGAGTTAGCGGTGGTAGCCCCTAACAGTAAAACGGGAGTGACGTGCGCTATTCAATTGTCGGAAGCCGGTAGCCAGTGCGGATCACGGGCGCTGCGTTTCCCGGCAAGAGTAGCAGGCGTAGCAAATAACGCATGTGATCGAGAGGATGCGTTTTTTCGAGCGTACCTGTTGTATGGGTTGTTTATGGATGCGGGTGGTCGTTTCTCGCTCTTGATGTAGTCCAGCCGGAGCGGACCTGACTCGCTCAGAACATCATCGATGGACGGTATCAACGAAGCAGGCGGATCTGCTCGCGGTCGTGGTTGATCAGACGAGGGAAGGCGGTGGTCGTCGAGGCGCGGATGGGAGGTGGGACTGGCTAGGATGATGTTGAGGCTAAGGGGCAGCGAGCGGATGAAAACAAGCAGACGAGAAAAGCCAAGACAGCGACAATTACGGGAGCAAGCAAGCAGAGCAATGGGGACGAAGGACAAGGAGAGGGAGAAAGATACAACAAGCAAGAGTTTCAGCAACTTGTCGAGCAGAACACACACGCCGACGGCCGGGAATGAGTGGGAAAGGAGTGTCGAGCACCTTCAAGGGCAGGACAGCGATGAAGGACGGAGCGGAGGCGAGCTTAGCGTCCCGTCCGTGCTCCAGAGCAGAGCCGTTCCAGGCATTTTAAGGCTTCAGCTAGGGTAGGCACTGCAGCAGTTGTTTTTGCATCACAGACACAGCGGTGCTCGCAGGACAGCAGTATGGACGTCAATTGCCTAGTCGTGCGCTTGCTCAAAGAATCGGCCACTGCTTCTTGCCTATACAGCAACTCAAGGCACCCTTGCCAGACGCCGAGCGATGCTCGAGCAATTCACGCAGCCCGCCCCCAAGATATGTATCATGCATGCCCCGCGACGACGAGTGTACTAACACTACTCTAGTCCAATATATATTTTGCCTGCGTGCCACGCTGCAGCAGACAACACTCAAACCCCTCTGCTGGTTTGCGTGTGTCTGCTACGCGCCTGCCTCTCACGGCGCGGCCTACGAGCACGACAATGGCCATACCTGCATATAGTTCCTGCGAGCCGTGCTTAGAGGCCAAGCTGCAGGTTATACCCGCTTAACCCATGCCGTGCATATCACATGTAGGGTGTGCCCGCTCTCCTCTGCTGCTGCATGCTCGATGCCTCTCACGCTCACCGCAGCATCCGAATCGCTCGCAGTAGCGCGCTAGAAGCAACAACACTCATGGCGTCGCCGACAGCAAGCCGGTGCCGCGCATTTGCAACACCGCCTAGTAGCATGCTGAAACGATCAACACCATGTCCGGAATGCTCAACATCACGCAACGCGCGTGCTCGCGGTACGGTACCACATTGTGGGAATGGGAGCGTCTCGAAGGAGCGAAAGTGTCGGGAAAATGTCACTGGAAAAGTAAACCCTCGGCCAATTGCTGTTGGAGAACCGGCGAAGTTGCTGACGGAAAGACATCTGAGGTGCCAATCAGACTTCTCAATTGGTCCGCAAGTGTATGCAGGGTTGATACGAGGATTGCGTGTGCGGCTGTAAGCGGTAACTTAGTGAGTGGGTGGGGCATCACCGATTGAATGAACGCGTCTCCCGTAACAACACGATTTCTGATGAGGATGCTCGTCGGATGCGCCTCTCTCTACTCGCGTATGCCACACTGCACGCAGAGCGGATGTGCGTCGATACAATTACCTTTGATTCTTCAGTACCAAGCCAAGTGCGCAAGCGCTCCCTCTTTCAATCAAAAGTAAGGTGGCCAGGGGTAATGATGATCTCTCCTGTCCCAGATCTGCGGACTCAGTGCGGAGCCATGGCCAAGCAGCGCCGCTAGCAACAAACGGCCGCCAAAGGTTGTAGCTCAACATCAGGTGTTTAATTATGGCTTTTCCATCGCAGAGAACATTCCACCCCAACTCCAGCCTAGCCAACCCTCTCCAAAGAGTAGTCTCAACCCCGTAAGGGTATCGCTGTTGCACGCCAGCGGAAGGCGTCATCACGACCTGAGCAATCGCGATGGCCAGCCCTCATCAAGCCACCAAGATCCAGTTGCGCAGCCACAACAACTCAGATTGGTCGCCGATCGACATCGCCTGACACAACAATGTGGGTGAATAGTGCGAAGGACAAAAGGCTTATCTGTTCACCGCCACAGGCCCACATGAGAGCTTGTGGCTGTTTGCGATTGGACGATTTCGCGAGAGAGGGTCGATTCACGAACTCTTGGACGGCCTCACCAGCAAAGACAACCTACTGTCAACTTCGACGTGTTCCAACCTTCTGGGAACTGCAGTTGCACACCTTGTGCAGAATTTCATTAAGCATCACCGGCCGAAACTGCGTACCTCCAGCTTTGCGTTTGTACTACGTGGAGGACACGTGCGGAGCGCGACCCCATCGCGAGCTATGTCTTTCAACCAGAACACATGCTTGGATCTACACAACGTGCCGCGAACTAGCAATGCCATTTGAATCTGTCTGCCTTTGTCTCGGATGTGCTAAGGATTCACGACGCTGTCCGTTCGATACGGATACGAGAAAATGTACCGCAGTTTTTCCCCGCCCTTGAATGTGGATAACTTCTCAGGAGACACACTTCAAATCCAAGTTACGCGGACCAATTCCAAGCATTTGACCGCTCTGCGAGCATTCTGCTCTGGTTCTCTGAAGGCTGAAGCATCCATTTTGACGGAAGATTATGCAACAATGCTTCTGCCATTGGACGGCCGTCTGAAGAGATGCTTGAGGTTGGGCATGAAGCAAATTAGGTATCGGTCTGATTGTTGGAGAAGTCAGGCTTTCATTCGTACAGACTTGCACCGTCACGCTGTAAGTGTCTCTCTTCTCTATCCGGCTTTCTACGAGCGTTGCGGACATACAATGTCCCTCGATGTAAGAACAAAAACGTCGTCGTCATCGCCAGGGTTAATTTGGCGATAACGAAGACATATCTCTCTCGAGTGCACCCGAACCACCAACCTCTCCATTGCACCGAATGCTGGATAACAGTCGAACGGGCTAGCCGATTGCGCCACGAGAGACGTTGAAGCTGCTGCGCGCCTTGGAGAAGTCATGGCCGCATCTTTAGAGACAAAAATGGACGGGCAGGAGCATATGTAGCTTGTTTGCGTGTTCTGTGTCAGAGTCAAGATGCTCGATGACTTTACCAGAAAACCGAAATAGAGCTCGCGACGATACTTTTACACCCAATCGCTGAATTTTATGTACATCGTTACAGTGTCACATAGACATCTATTCGATACAGGCTCTCGAGCTCTAGGAGCATCGTTGTAGGCTCCTAGTCGAAGCGGCCACCGTCCGTGGTAACTTCAACTTACAGGCGCCAAATGGCCGTTCTTGTCATACTTCGCTTCTGCAGCACTTCGTCAGTAACCTCGTTCCCTCAAAACTCGAGCGTTGCCGTCCACTCACTGAAAAAGGTGTAGTTCAACGTGATGGTATCAATACCCTTCATGGCCGGATCCCTCAGGAACTCTGGATCGATGTAAAAGAAGACGGGCATGTCGACCGTCTCCCCTTTGTTCAGCCTCTGCTCCTCGAAACAGAAACACTGGATCTTGCTGAAATACGGCGCCACCTGCGCCGGCGTAACGCTATACGTCGCTACTCCGATGATGTCCTCATCCGGGCTCTTGTTCGTCGCCGTGTAGAACGCTAATGCCGTCTCGCCCGGCAGTACTCGCACCTCGCGCTGCTGGGGAACGAACTTCCAGGGTAAGATGTCTGAGGTAGAACCGGCGAAGGTGATGCGCAGACGTCTTGAGGACGTCACGGGAGTGAGGCGGGATGCGATGTCGTCCTCGCCTTCCGTGTAGTCTGAGTGTTTGATGGGTTGGCCGCCCCAGCCGGTCTGTTGACAGATGGTCTTGTACATGGGTACGGCGCCGTAGGAGAGGGCGACCGTGCCCATGATGATGGAGAGGGTGTAGTAGCTGATTGGGGTCAGCCTCTGCTCACGCCATTGCGAGTTCCCTTCTCCCGGTGTTCGTGCAGCTGTACGTACAGCGTGTTTTGATTCTTTGCTTTGAACGGCGCTCGCAGTTGCTCCATCGTCGGCGCTGCACCCTGTCTCGTCTTTGGGCTCGTCTGTATGCTACGTAATTGCCGGACCGGGAGGTTGTGCCGCACCGGGCCTCGCAATGTTTGTGCACATCGTGAACATATCCACGGCTCAGCTTCCGTCACCAAGCGCGTAATGCGACTGCTGAGAAGAGTCGGAGGCCTCATGTTGAATGTGTGGTATGAAGATGGTTTCGGAGGTGAATGAAACGCCGCATGTTGATGACTAAGCCGCTCTTTGGTCGACTTTCTGAACGTTTCGGGTGAGGATTTTGCTCTGTCTGGTGACTGACTTGGCACGAAGGACGGCTTCTTGAAAAATAGAGCAAAGTACTGCTGCCAGAAATGGCGACAACATGCGGTGTGTGTAACACAGAGCCGTCGAAGTACAAATGTCCTTCGTGTCAGTTGCGATAGTGAGTCGTGTTATGGAGGGTCTTTCTGAGCGTATCTCTGACAGGAACAGTTGCTCTATAGCTTGCTATAAAGTACACAAGGTGGACCATACGGATGGCATCAAGCCGCAGACAACAGCAGCTCCTCTGACTCGACCACCTGCTTCTCAAAGTACCGTTCCGGCCTCTCAAACCAAGTCCAAGAGACCAAACTTCAGTGGATTAGAGTCAGATGCGGACCTCGTACGCCTAATGGAGCGCTATGCTGGCCTACGCATACAGTTGCAGAGTGTTTATGGACTTACGCTAGAACCTCACCCGGATGAACCACGCCAACAACGGCATACCAGAGGCAGAGGGAATTACAGGGGAGGTTTTCAGGCTCGGCCGTCGCATGGACAGTGGACAAAGGAGAAAGGCGATAAGGAGGCTGTTGGGCTGTTTAGGTCGCAGAGAGAGGGCGTAGAAAGCGAGGGGTTGGAGGAGTTTCTGCAGCTGCTGAAGATGAAGTACGGCACTGAGCAGCAGAATACTTGATGGGTCACGGTAGGATTGGCAACAGATGCCACGACGATACACTGGGCAGAAGACTGAAACCCAACCGGCCAGGTGAAGGACAACCGGTGATACGGCGGCTCCTCGATGGACCGAGTATTTGCTAGTGGCTTTCGAATGGGTGCGCGGAAGGCCAGGATGGTACCTGAAGAAACGAGTTGGTGGATGAGAGGGTCAAAGGGCAGCAAAGCGCCATGCTCACGAATTGCTCTATGCTACAAGAGGGCATGCGACGAAGTGGAAACTCGTACGCGGTGGATGCGAAGAACCGAAACGAGTGAAAGAGCTTGACAGAACTTCTTACTACGAGTAAAGTGAATCCCTGTAAGATCTGTTTGCGATATTTACTCGTTGACGCATCACTTTTGCGAACGGGCGCGCGTCTGCCTGAGGCCACGCGAAGCACGCGCTTCGCTTCGCGCTTTTCTCTTTTCATTTTGTCGTCGCCTTCGGAGGTTTTCATTCTCCAATCTCCCATCTCACTCCAAGTTTGCCTTGATAGATACACTTCGCCTTCACTGTCAAGCTTGAGCAAAGGCGTAGCGGGAACGGCAATGATGACAGATATGACGGCGGATACCGGCGTGGTCGTCTCATGGTGCCTCTTTTCAACAAGCTCAAAGTTCGACCACAAAACTCACATGTTGCAGGGGCATTCCCGTCAAAATCACCCGCCTGGCTGCCCGCCTGGCAGCTCATCTCCACATGAAGCCCATATGTGAGATGTTGCGTCTTTGCAACAGATACGGCAAGGGTGAAGGCGTCCTCGTCAACAAGATCCCTATCGAGATCATTTCCATGATCGAGGAGTGTCTTCACGCTCCGCTCCGCGAACACATGCTACAGCACTGGGAGCACAAGCAGGCCTACTACGAAGGGAATTTTAGAGTACGAGACTATGTCGGCCGGGGCGATGACAATTACTGGGAAGCCAGAACGCTTGCATGCGAAAGCCAGTAAGAAGCGTGGACTCTTTTACCCTTATAGCGAGGGAGACTGGACCTCAACTCCAAGTTTTTTTGGGGAAGTACGTGAGCAAATGAAACAAAAAAATGAACGCTAAAAGGAAAACGCATGATGAGGTTTTCTGCAGCTGGCACTGCAGGGTTAGCCGGCTAACTGTTGGGGCGTTTCTTCAATACGACGAAGTGGGTACAGGTTCTGTTGATATGTCAGATCCAAGTGAGGCAGTAGGCTTAACAGGCAACTGCTTGCCGGACTTCTGTGCCTGTTGAGTGCTTGACAGCCTGCCTGAGCACACCGCGTCCTGCAGTCACAGGTCGCTGACTAGCTTGGCAGATACTCAAGAAGGACTTCGGCTTGGTAACATTCATCATGCAGCACGACGTCGATCCGGCGACGGCCAGATATCTGAAGCGTGTGATGTTGTATGAATGGCCAGAGCAGGTTACACTCAGTTATCTGACCTTGCCCTCGCAACGCGCCGACTATCGTCTGGAATACGAGCAGAATTTCAGGGACGAACTAAACGGCGACCCGGGCAGATCAATGCTGCTGTCGTCCGACTCCCTGACATTGACTGACTCGCACAAGGAACGCTTCTCGCGCGCGATACGTATCCTCAGGCTCGAGCCATACGTGCATCCTAGCCAGCTGAAGGACGACTTGTCGGCATTCTCACTCGCCCACGGATATCCCACCCCACGAGTCCAGCCCCCAGTCCGTATTACTGACGAGTTCGGGCCCGACGAGCTCACCAAGCAGGACGCTGACATCGAAGCTAGAATCGAGCATCAGTGTATAACGTCAAAACGCAGAATAGCGCGCTGACGTTTCTTCAGGGCTTGAAAAGGGTTCCTGGCCGCAGCTGATGGTACTAGTGGAACAGGTCATATCGCCATGGTGATGTTTGATGGCAAGACGATGTCCATGTCCGGAGAGATTCCTGTTCTCAGCAACGCTTCCGCTCACTGTTGTTACGACACTTGGTTGCTTCCTAGCACATGCTACTTCCCTTTCGGTCTCCACATTATTGCATCAATCAGCGCGTGGAAGAACTGGCTACGATCTCAGGGATTCTGTACATCACAAAGAGATGTGATAATGTCTCAACAATCCATTTTTGCTTGTTCTTTGCTTCTCATGTATCTACAACAGGCTCGACCCAACGAGAATTCAAGCCGATTCCAAAACTGCCTCGTTTCAATCGTATCCAAAATGATCCAATCATCCAACTTCCCCCACCGAGCAACTATCCGAACCTGTCCCACGTCCACTCCTCGTTTACATGTCCTGCTTGTACTCAATCTCGGCCTTGCCCATCTGGCTCAGAGGTCCGTTCTTGACCATCAGGGTCATGACTTCGTACAGCGTATCCGCGGCGGCCATGGTGGTCAGCTCGGCGTTGGTGTCGTAAGCCGGGGCGACTTCGACGATATCTGCGGCAACAAGCTGAATGCCCTCCAGACCGCGGATGATCGTCCGAAGCTCACGAGTGCTCCAGCCACCTGTTTCTGGAGTGCCGGTCTTGGGGCACGAGTCAGTACGTTTCATCACGAGAGAGTGGATGGGACATGGGGAATGTACATACCGCGGGTGCGAAGGCGGGGTCAAGGGTATCGATGTCGATGGAGAGGTAGACAGGGTTCTTGTGGCCTGTGACGAGACGGGTCAGAAATCATCTCCTCCGTGAGAACGTGGACGGGGGCACAGGAACACAACGTACCGACGCGCTCGTGGATCTTCTTAATAATGCCCTCAGTGCCAATCTTGTCAATCTCCCTGGCCTCGACAATGTGGAAGCCGCAGTATCCGTCGTTCTCGTAATCGGAAAGACCGGAGAGGGTGGTACGGATACCGGCGTGGATGTTGGTGTCGTTGCGGAGAAGACCCTCTTGGGAGGCGTGGTAGAAGTAAGTACCGTGGTTGATGGACGCCTGCTTGGAAGGCGCACCACCGAAGACCTTGGGGCGCCAGGTGTCCCTAAATAATTGTCAGTGAGGAGGCAATAGGTGCGGAGGGACGGAGGGGCTTACAGGTGAGAGTCAAAG